TAGTTTTATGAACGATTAATTCATAAATTAGAGGTTCCTATAAGAAACACATAATGCAATATGTTGATTTAAGTGTAGTGGATTTGAGGTTCTCCAGGGACTCAAGTGTAAGAGCTTCGTTACAACGAAAGTATGTTAACGGTTCAAAGTATAAAAATAAATTATTGAATCATTAATTCCAAAAGTGATATTCAGGTCAATAATCTTGGATTCATTATCAGATTAATGGATTGCAGGTCACTTTTGATTAATTCAATAGATCAGGACCAAACAAGGTCGATCATGTAAGCAAAAATAATAATAACATTCAGGTTAAAATTATTTAGGATAGCCCAAAAAAGGGTTTGGGCTTGAGTATGGCTGTAAAAGCAGCCCATATGTGGCTACAGGCCACGGGCTGAGAGACATGAGCCTACAACAAGCTGCTGGCGTGATTGGGCAAGACCATAGCACGAGAGCAAGCCTAGAGGCTTGCGGGTGCGAAAGAAACCCCAACTGCAACTAGGTTTCAGGTTTGGGTCGCAGGGACTAAGCCCAGCCCCAAGGGATGGCTGCCTGAGGCGCAGGCTGTGGCAAAGGCTTAACCCAGAAGCAAGCTTTTGGTGTGGGCCGACATGGAAAGACCAGCCCAACATGTGCTGGTGTGGGTCGGGGCTACAGGCCCGTGGTAAGAAACCAAACCAAGCAGACGACCTAGTTGTCCACAGTGTGCAGTGAATCCCAAAGGCTTCGACAAAGGTCCGAGATGTCAAACGACGTTGTCCCAATTTCCTTTCTTTTTCAAAATTTTCTAAGGTTTTGAAAAACCTTAATATACTTCTAATTTATTTATATGCTTTGACTCACAAATTCCACATAGCAATGTAATTGCGTAATGCATGAAATATATATATATATAATATATATATATATTGTAAGGAAAATATAAACATAGAAGGGTTCATGCATCATGGAGAATGTTTTCATTCTTCATGGACGTTTCAAATATCTTCCTTTATTTTAAGCGTATTTGATTAGCAGAAAACAAAGAAAAGCCTTTGAATTTTGTGGAAGATAGCCTCCTCTTATGATTCGTAAATTCCTCAGCCTCTGGTAAGAGCGTGCTGATAACGTGTTGTAGGCCTATTTGATTGAACTAATCTAAGGGATTAGATAGAGGGTCGACGGTAGCAAGAGGGAAGATAGTGATTTAATTGTGAGGCGTATTTGTATCACTCCATTGTGCCTTTATTTATAGTAGTAGGATAGGCAAAAACCTTACCCTTTTAGGATTACAACTCTTAATAGGTAATCAACCCCTATTATGAATATAAGAGATATTCCTAAATTCACTAGGATTTACACAATCACATTCCTATTTTAAATATGACTACAATAGATTTTTTATCTTTGGTCCAACGATATATTTTATATGTACATTAAAGTAAGGTTCTAGAAAACGCTAAGTGCTAGTCGGGCGGTAGGCTGGCGCCTAGCGCCTAGGCGGCTAGACGGATTTAGGTAAATTTCTTATATATTTTATGAATTAATTGAATTTACTATATCAAATGTAAATAATTATTGACTAATATGTTATTTCTTATAGAAAAACATACATATGTGAATGTTTTATGTAGATATATAATATGTTTGCCTAGGAAAAAAAACAAAATATTATCTAAATAATTTATAATTTATATAACGTTTATATATATATATATATATATATATATATATATATATATATATATCCCAAACTTTTAAAAATATAGAAAGCCCACATAGTAGGTGGTTTTCATTATTAAAACCATGTCGTCTACCTCACATTTGCTCCTTCTCATCACCCATCCACCTTGGGTGGTTTTCATAATTAAAACCATCAAAATCCATGGTTTTCATAATTAAAACCATCATCTTTTGACCTTGGACCACCACATAATGAAATGTTTAAGTCTCTCTCTCTTCTCACTCTTTCTTCCCTCATCTTCACAAACGAGCTGTAGAAATTCACCGGCAGCACTCTCTCTTCCCTCATCTTCACATAAACAAGCTATAGAAATTTTTTGGGGATCTATTGCTACGTACGAGATCAAAAGTTGTAGATCCTTTGCGAAATCTACAGCAAGTTTGGGATTTGCAGCGAGATTCAAACCGCCTAGATTGCCGCCTAGCGAGCGCTTATGTCCTCCCTGCTTAACTGAACAGTTTGGTCTAAATCAGGTCAAAGCTCCGCCACCTAGGCCGATTTTTAGAACACTGCATTAAAGAGAAGAGAGAGTTCAGCTAAGTCATCTAATGAAAAACCTAATTTGGTATGAAATTCACTATCTATGAGATTCGAAACTAAAACCTTTCACTACAAATTAAAATAAATACCATTACATCGTAATTGGCAATCTAGATTTAACTATCGCAAAGCAAAATGAAGTACGGACGAGAATTTCGCCTGCTCACGATTGCAAGTGTCGGGATGTGCTTTGATATTGTAGATTAGGGTTTTTCTTGTAATTGGGTTTGTTGTTGTTTGTTGGGGTTTGGGCTGCCCTTTTTATTTATTGGGCTTTGAGATTCTGTTTGAGCCTTTTATTGGTTATCTGTTGCCCTAGATTTTGGGTTGGTATGTGTGGATCCTTAATAATTTGAGCATCTTTATTATTAACTCAATAATTCCTCAATCGATCCTTATCCTTCGATAATTTGTATGCGTATGCTATAAAGTTAACCCCAAATGATGATCATAAGACTATTAATTTCATTTGTTATGTAATTGTATGGATGTTGTTCATTGCTCTTGTTCTAAAGACACTGTGCATGTTGGGCTTTACAGTACCAATTGTCGTGAATATTAATGATTTACTAATTAAATCACTCGATTCTCAAATAACTTATTATTTAAGTTACTTGATATTTAAGTGGTATTGATGTCACATCCCAAAAGTAACCAACCCCTTATGAACACACATATGCATTTAACTTATGATATTCTTACAAGCCCACTTGATTAGAAGCTTCAGCTGTAATACTACACCGCAAAAGGTTTCCTTTCTGTTTATTAACATGGGATAAACTGAAACTTCTAAAATCCATACACAACAACCATCAAGGCAGGAAAGTTCACAACTCAAAAGAAATAAACTTAAAAGTGCAGTTAGACAAAGGTTCGCTGATTATATATTGTGTCATCATTTTGTTTTATGGAACATAAATGTTATTCTTACAATATTTTTCATACTACTTTATACCGTCTCTTTAACAGAGATGAGATTTACATATGTTGGTGAGCCCTACCTCTATTAGAAATGTGATACAAATGTGGTAATAACAAAGGACAATTTGGTTGAAATGCACTACTTGAAGGCAGTGATCAAGGACACTTCGTTTATTTTCTATTCCATTACTTATCCCCGGAATATCATCCCAAGGTGTGAAAACAAATGGTTACCACATTAAAGCCAACACGCAAGTAGTCAATGTGTGGGACATTGGAAGAGAACCGAAATCAATCAATTCAGTTTACCTTGGCTATTATTGAGCTTTCTTTGGCAAATGTAGTGCAGAAGTCCGATTGGGAATTGGCAACATCAGATAAAGATTTAGACATGGCTGAATCCAACAGTTTGACCTTGCGTAAAAAATCCCCCCAAATAGCTATTGCAGTTCCATATTGATCATCAGCGTGCTAGGGCTTGCACATATTGGTGCACCCTCCATTGATGATGTGACTGGCACTATAACCACGTGGTTGTACTTATCTTTCTAATGTTGAAAAAACTCGTAAGTTTGAATCCTTCCATTGATGTGATTGGCATTACACAAAAAATGAATTATGTGACTGTAAATTTTTGCATCACACAAGTGAAAAATATAGAACATGCAACAAATAAACAACTACAAATTCTTTTTTGGCTAAGTGGATCGGCTGTATAAATCTTAAAATGAGCGTTGAGTTTTGGGTCAGGTCTTCTATTAGCTTCAAGTAGTACTATATGTCTTTTCTTAAAGTCTATTTCCAAGCCTTCTTACGTCTTCTTCTACATTTTTATTCTTGAGTTTTTGTCTTATAATTGTATTTTCTAACCAAAGCATCTATAGGTCTTCAATTTATATATCTAAATCACTTTAACTGATTTTCTTCCATCTTATCTTCAATTTCCATTCCTACTTTACCTATATCCACAAAACATGCCATCTTATCTTCACATGTCCAAAATATGCAACAAACAAACAAAATGATTTTTCTTCCATGTTATCTTCAATTGCCATTCCTACTTTACCTATATTCACAAAACATGCCATCTTATCTTCACATGTCCAAAATATGCAACAAACAAACAAAATGATTTTCTTCCATTTTATCTTCAATTGCCATTCCTACTTTACCTATATCCACAAAACATGCCATCTTATATTCACATGTCCAAAATATGCAACAAACAAACAAAATGATTTTCTTCCATTTTATCTTCAATTGCCATTCCTACTTTACCTATATTCACAAAACATGCCATCTTATCTTCACATGTCCAAAATATGCAACAAACTAACAAACAAAAAAAAGAGTCTAAACACGGCCACTCTTCACATGTCCAGAACATGCAACAAACAATAAAAAAGAAAAAATTTCATCTTCCGAGATAAAACAGGCAAATAGTACTTCTTCATTTTAAATCGGACTCAGTGGGTTGGTTGCCAAAACCAAGCAATAAACTAAACTAAAATACAATGTCAGTGCACGTGCATGCATCGCCATGTTCAAAAAGATGCATAAAGTGTATTACATAAATTATGGAATATGTGTATTAAAAAATTAATAATTTAAAATAATTTTTTTTTTATTATTTTTATAAAAATAGGTAATGGAATAGAAGATAATTTTTCCGCCGTATTCATCTGTGTTTCCATTACAATGAAAATTTCTCCGCCGTATTATGTTGATGAAGAAATATGCTAACCGTCTACTGATTGGTTCAATGTTATCTTCACCATGCCAAACCAATCATATAAATAGACCCAACTCGTGTCACAAATAGCATGTACTCAATTTCTTTTCCAAACCCACACATATTTGGGGTTTGTAGTTCCGTCTATTCAAAGCATTCATCTCTGGGGTTCCGAGTTTGATTCCTACCTTCTTCAGTACCTTGCTTTGTATAAAAAAAAATACAAACGCATACACGTAGAAATGTTGAATGAGATCTTCACCTTGTTGCAATCTTCTTTATTCGCACTAGTATTTGTGTTCATTTTCCTGATCTTCTTATTCAAATGTCTCTCAACTCCAATAGCCACAAACCCACCACCGTCTCCACGTAAGCTCCCAATAATTGGAAACCTTCACCAACTAGGATTGTACCCTCATCGCTCGCTTCAAGCCTTATCTCAACTCCATGGCCCTCTCATGCTTCTCCATTTTGGAAGTGTCCCAGTCCTTGTTGTTTCTTCAGCTCAGGCAGCCAAGGAGATCTTGAAAACTCATGACCTCACATTTTCTGACCGACCCAAGTCCACCATCTTTCAGAAGCTCCTCTACAACTACAAAGACGTCTCAACGGCGCCATATGGTGAGTACTGGAGGCAGGTGAAGAGCATATGTGTTTCTCATCTCTTGACCAACAAAAGGGTACAATCCTTTCGCTGTGTGAGAGAAGATGAAACCAAGTTGATGATTGAGAAAATAAATCTGTCTTGCAGTACTAACGAATCTTCAGTTGTGAATTTGACTGAAATGGTTGTGACTCTTACTACTGATGTTATATGTAGAATTGCGTTGGGGAGAAAGTATTGTGGTGGAGAAGGAGGGAAAATGTTTAAGGAGATTTTGGGGGAGTTTATGGAGTTGTTGGGACGTCTTGTGATTGGGGACTATATCCCATGGCTTGCTTGGTTGAGCTGTGTCAATGGTTGGGCACTAAACTAGACAAGGTGGCTAAAAGGTTTGATGACTTTTTAGATGGAATTGTTGAAGAGCATATAGATGGTGCAAAGAGTGGAGTTGAGCATGAGGAAAAGGACTTTGTAGACGTTTTGCTTTGGATTCAGAAAGAAAATCTAGCTGGTTTTCCTCTTGCTAGAGTTAGCATAAAGGCCCTCATCTTGGTAACTCAACTCACTTTAGTTCAATAAAACAACTATTTCTATCCGATTGTGCTGCATAAACTTCTTTTGTATACATCGCACAGAAATACATATATTTATCTCTTTCATCACGTGACATTTTACATATGAATTATTAATATAGGTGACTCAACAGTTTAAATATTTTGTACTAGTCATACATAATGATATGAATAATATGGTCTATCTAGCGTTACTAGTCATAATAATTCTGTTATTCATTAACGTCGGTGGATCATTCTCCTTGAAGGATATGTTTGCTGCTGGCACTGATACATATACAATCATAGACTGGGCAATGTCTGAGCTTTTAAGGCATCCAAGGGTGATGAAAAAACTGCAAAAGGAAGTAAGGGGAATAGCAAGAAGTAAAACCGAGATAATAACCGAGGATGATTTGGTTGGAATGCACTACTTGAAGGCAGTGTTCAAGGAGACTCTTCGCTTACATCCTCCAGTTCCATTACTAATGCCAAGAAAGTCAACCCAAGATGTGAAAATCCATGGCTACGACATTAAAGTCAACACACAAGTCATAGTGAATGCATGGGAAATCGGAAGAGATCCCAAATCGTACGAAAAACCGGAGGAGTTTGAGCCAGAAAGGTTCTTGAATAGTGGTATAGATTATAAAGGGAATGACTTTGAATTGATTCCATTTGGAGCTGGCAGGAGGGGCTGCCCAGGAATTCAGTTTGCCATGGCGGTTAATGAAATTGGTTTGGCAAATTTGGTGCATAAATTCGATTGGGAGTTGCATGGCGGAGCAAGAGCGGAGGATTTAGACATGACCGAGTCTACTGGTTTAACCAAACGTAGAAAATACCCTCTTAAAGCGGTTGCTATTCCATATTTATAATGTGCTTGCCATATTTTGTTCATGTTAACTTGCATATGCCATATGGAGGGCAATAATAAAGTTTAAGTTAATAATCATATATAGAGTAGATCGCATCTTCTTTTTTGAATAAAGTGTAGCACGGTGTGCTAAGAAAGTAAAAATAAATAAATATGTGCATCTATTATATTTTGTATATAGTATTCTAAATTTAGTTTATTTTGATCATATATATAAAAGTACTAAAGCACTAATCAGTTAGTAACTTAATATAATGGTGACCACACGGTGGGCTCACTCCACAATATTTTTCTAAGATTCTTCAAGTCCAATTCTTAACTTGACAACGCCTAAACAAAGGATTCCAAGATATTTCCAGTCAAAAATACCACATATAATACAAGTATGATAATGGTTGAACAAGATTGTTGAACAAAGAGAGATGACTATGAGATGGATTGCTTGAAACCAAAGCAAACGAGTTGTAAACCGCTCTTTCCAAGCTCGTGGAGCCTGTTTCAAACCAACCAGATTCGTGCAGCCGAAAAACTAAATGAGTAGTAGTAAATATCCGCCATGTGGTTGTGCCATATATACTTCCTCGGCAAGAAATCCATAAAATGTATCTGATTGCTTGATCTTCCCATTGAAATTTGCAGCAAGGGATACAACAAGTCTGACAGTTGTGTTTAACTACAGCTCTAATTTATACTTGCAATCTATTACACCTGTCAAACGGTTAGAGCACTCACGTTTGCTACACTTAACAGAAGCCTCTATGATGCTGCCTCTCCTCACTATCCCTTGCTCACAACTGGTGGAGTTGGATAATTACATGCTTGGAAACCATGATCACAGCCGTCCCATAACCTCACTTGATCGATATCACGAGACGACCAATATCAATGACTTACATGATACAAGTATATTATTACAATAGCATCTTGGTGAGTTGATATTATACTGTATATTTTACCCTATTCTTAGTTATAATTTATTGGCTATTTTGTGAGAATTTTGATATTTTGAATTATATTTCCAATGTAGGACATTCGAATTCCTCTTGAGAAAAAAGTGATCATACAAATTATGGAGTGATTCCATTTGAAGGATGTTTGTTGGTCTTTCTACTTGATTGTATCAAAGTTTTAGATTTTTCTACCAAATGATTAATTTATGGCGATGAAATAAAGGAGCAACGTGCAGTGCTGTCAAAGTGACGTTTTGGGCTTATTTGGCGTCCAAGATGGTATCTTTTGGGTTTGAGGCCTTTTGCAATTATGTTCGGGAGATCTCAAGCTTTATTTCGAGTCATTTTGGGTATGTTTTAGAGCCATGAAGATCCAGAAACATGGGATTCTTTGTGGCTGTGTAGATTTCTCAAAGTTAGAAAATGATGTATTTTCTAGTTATCTTATTCTATTATATTTTCTTGTTTTATTCTAAGATATTTTCTAGGAAGGATTTTATTTTCTAGTAGTATAAATAAGGCTATTTAGCCATTAGGATGGGGGAATGCATCAATTTGGAGAACTTAGCTATGCTTTGACGATTTGTATTTTTCCTTCAATGTGTTTTTTATCCTTTTTCTATTTCAATAAAAATTCCTTTTGTTTTATGGTTGTTCGTAACTAATTTCCGTTTACTAGATGAGGCCACGAGCCTTACCATGAATATGTAGTATTTATTTAATTGCTTATGATATTATGCATGTACTTTGAATTATTAATCGTTGTGTTTAAACTGCCTCTGTATCTTAATGCTTAGCTACTATTAAGATGTTTAGATAAGTAATTAGATGTAATTCGGTCGAAATATAACCGGAGAATTGAGTATTGCTTCTTGTGATTGATAATTGTAATTTCACCTAAGACGAATATCACGCTCTTAGGGTTGCATGATTTTTCAAAGGTTTTTCACAAAACTTTACATGATTGGGGTTTGATACTGCAATGAGTGAAACGCTAATCGGGCAGTCCCCAATTAACGGGCATTGAGCTTTACATGTGCTTCTTTGGCTGCATCAGCATCTCCTGCCTCCTTACTAGCCTCTGCAGATGCCACGGAACTTGCACTCGGAAGATTATATTCAGCTGGTTTATCGCTATTTGCAACAATAATTTCTGCAGTGTTCTCTGTTTCTTTTGCCAGAACAGCATTATGTGCTCTCATTAGCTCTGCGACGATGGCATTGAACTTTTCATGTGTTTCTTTGGCTGCATCAGCATCTTCTGGCTCCTTACTAGCCTCTGCTGATACCATGGAACTTGCACTTGAAACATTCTTTGGTGTAACCTTCTGACTCCTAGCATTGTGCTTCTTGCCGCTCATATGTTGTGACATCACCTTTGTATTGTTGGCACCCCTTTGGCACATTTCACACCAAAATTTAAATCTACTTTGTTTTGCTACATCTTCATTTCTCTCCAGTCCATCAGCCGTTTCAACCTTGTCTTTATTCTTCAAATCCCCTCCACACTGGTCTTCTGGCATTGACGGTTCCCCTTTGTCCTCTTTTGAAGTGCCTTGATCCTGCAATTTCTGGCCTGAACCATCACCGGTTTCATTATGGTCAAGCAGTGATTTCCTTACTTGTTTGGCCTCTAATTTGGAGCTTGTGATACCATTGGTCTCTTTAGGCTTAGAAAACTGTGTAGATGGTGCATTCCTGGAGCTCTTGTCCAGTTGCTGAGCTCTCAATTCCGCTTCCTTGGCCTTGTGCTTCTTACCATTTATGTGTTGAATTAAGCCTTTCTCAGTTGTTTCGCTAACCTGGCACAGGGTGCAACTCCATTCCTCCCTGGGTTTCTTTTTCAACCCAAATGGAGGCAGCTCACTAGAACCCACTGTTGGTGAACTTTTCCGCTTGCCCCCAGAAAGATTTGGGTTAGTTTTTCCTGCAACAAAGATATTTATACACAGTACATACCAAGGCAGTCTTTTACAGTTCAATGCTAAACATCTGACTGATGGTAAAAACCTAAACAGCATTTCCAAATATGAAGTGCACTACCCTCTGCTGCAAATATAGAATGAATAATAGAAAAACAACTTGAGGTATTCGTAAGTTGAAAAGGCATGACAGTGACTAGAAATGTGCTGTCTAGCAAATCTGCAAGATGTGTTTCAATTTTGGATACTACATTGCTGTTGCATAACTAAGCCGACAAATGAATGTAATATCAATAGTATCTATGCAGGCACACTCGTTCGCTTGACCCTAATAGCATTGAGTAAAAAATAAAAAAATAAAGATTCGAGATAATTAAGAAGGAATCTGTGTTTCCAAAGTAGTTATGCATAAGAGACGACATTTCTCACACAAGGCCACTATAAAGGACTGCTGCAAATACATAGGGTAACCTCCTCCAAGAGAACCCACAAATGAAAATTCAATTTCCAACGATCCACCAGAGCCATTAATCCTGATTATTCTGTACCTTAATCAAACTGATGTCACTATAACAAATTGTCATAGTAAACGATCCTAGTATAATGATCTGGGACAAATAATCTACATGATGAATGACTATGATGCCCCATTGAAACTGACTTTTAAAGTGCTGATCCACAAGCAAAAGGGCTACCACATGCCTACATAGCAAACCAATATAAACCTTGTTTGTCAATATTAGCATCGGTTATGGGCACAGCCACCTTAGGCAATGCAGACGCTACTAAGAACGCGTAGTCCTCTTCCTCTATGTGTTGTATTTGCAAAACAAAGACCCGAAAAGGTCATCCTGCAAACTCGAAATGTTTATTTTGCACTTTCATTGTATTTCATGATTCAAGTGACATTATACAATCCGAAACAAATTGCCGATCTTGGAATGCAAATGATCATTCAATTTATCATTTACTTTGTCACATATAAACAGTAAAGCATAAACAGAACACTGTCAAATCAAATATAAAAAGTTTTAATGCGACTGACCAGTAAGATCAACTTGTTCTTGTTGCCGATGTCTGAAGGAGGAGGAAGTAGCGGCGGCGATGACATGAAGCCGTTGATCACAGGTTCCGACATCAGCAGTGGCAACGAGAACGAATCAAATGCGGTGGACGGCGACTTGAAGCCGTTGGTCACAGGCTCCGATATCGGCATTGTGCCAAACGAGAATGGTTCGAATACGAAGTTCTTATGAGCAGCGAACCGCATTGCGCCGAGTACTTCAGCAGGGGCTGTTTTAATAGCCAACTCTCGCTCCAACTTGAGCTCTCTCCTGACCTCCGCTTCAAGCTCTCGCCGTCGCGAAGTCTCAGCAGTGATAATGTCCTCCCTTATCCTCTCCTTCTCCAGCCGGAGCTCCATCATCCGTATCGGGTCCGGATTCCGGAAAACCGATTGTGGCAGCGGAAGTTTCGGTTGGGCTGAGATCCCCGGTACGGTGGAAGTAATAGGAGCAGAAGTTTGACCTGTTCGGATAGATTAGCTCAGTGAGACATTTTGCCGAGCATGTGGTGGGCAAATTTTGAAGCGGAACTCAGAGCATAAAGGTTAAATTTACCTTGCGGAGATGGACGCTTGGTGATTGCAGCCATGATCAGGTGCTTTGCTTCGTACTGGAGTCGAGTTGCATGATCTAACAACTCCCGCGCGCGTTCAAGGTCTGCAAATTCATCAGTTGCCGCCATGGTTTCACCTCCGGCGACGCCGCTAGAAGGTTGTTGTCCCGGATTGTGAAAGTGACGCGCTGTTTGTCTCTACTTGGGGGGATGGATTTTCGAGAGTTTTGATTTTTGGGTGTTGAGGCATTTTTTTAATAATATTTTTATATAGGGAGGCTATCCACACACCATGCTTAATTGATGTCTTTTGATCTTTTTCGATTCATTCGATCCGACAGTTGAAAATAAAAGGTGTGTGAGAATAAAAAAAAGTGTGTAGTGTGTAGATATCACATCATTTTTTTTATTTTTTAACAAACGACATTAAGAGAGAGGGAGGATAGGCTTAGCCGTACAATAGGCTATATTCTTTAGGTGTCTTAAGACAGAATTTAGGTTTTGAACAATGAATATCATCTAATCCTTCAAACTTAAATTTTAGGTCTAAAACATATTATGGTTTTAACGGAATTTTATTTACTTTTGAGTTATGATTTCTTAATTCAATTGCACAAATGTTTCAATTTAAAAAAAAAAAGTTTGACAAAATGTAAAAAACAATCAAAATGTAAAAAAATTAAATGGTTTTAACGGAATTTTATTTACTTTTGAGTTATGATATCTTAATTCAATTGTACAAATGTTTCAATTTAAAAAAAAAAAAAAATTTTTTGACAAGATGTAAAAAACAATCAAACTTCAATACACAAACCAACAAACCAAACTTTAATACGCACACCAACCAAACTTTAATATACAAACCTACCAACCTAAATTCAATACACACACCAACCAAACTTCAATATACAAACACCAGTCAAACTTCAATATACAAACCAACCAACCAACCAAACTTAACTACACACACCAACCAAAATAATTATAAAGGTTGACTGTTGCTCGTAACACCATCCTTAGAAATCGCAACCAAAACCTCACATAAAGTTTCATCTTCTTTTTTCTTCCAATTTGGACCTCTTGCGTTTTGTCCTAAAGGCATCTTCAAAAAAAATTAAGGGAGAAATAAGGATATGAAAATTATATGATTAAGAAATTAATTTTGTGTTTTACATTTTTTTTAAAATGAGTATTGAACATACACAAGAGTTTTACGTTTTTGTTATAAAAAAAAAATGTCGTATAAATGACATAGTTAGAAATCCTCTCCCGCTAAACTTAGGTTTAATGTTTTTGTAAGAAAAAAATAAATAAATAAATGTCGTACAGATCACGGTAGTTAGAAACCCTCTCCACAACAGAGAAACTAGACTTCGCATAGTGGAGAAACTAGTTTTGCAGAGCATTGAAGCATTCCACCAAATCAGCATTTTTAAGTATTTGCATGGTTTAGACCTTTAGGCGGTAGAGAGAACGAGCAGAGACTAGTCTTGTTTTGCAAAACGTTAACGAACAGACCCTAAATTTTCACTTCTTTTTTTTCGCTCATAAATTGAGCCATCAATGTTTGACTTAAGATTGTAAATAGCACAATTTTAGACTAAATTTTAGAAATGTTTTGAAAAATTATGATTTTTTTTTTAATAAGATACCAAACAGACCCTAATTTTTCATTTTTTTCCGCTGATAAATTTGAGGCATCAATGTTTGACTTCAGATTGTAAAGAGCACAAAACTGGCTAGAGCCTAACTACATATATACCCTTTATTGAAAGAAAAATGTGAGATTAGAGTGATGGACGAACGTTATCAAGAGGAAAACAACAATTGCGGCGTCTTTCGGCCACTTCAAGCAGTGTACCAAGTGCTTTTTTGTTGACATGGGTTACGGGAGTTGCTATGCATCCGCACTTCTTGATCCAAAGCCAAGTTTACAGCACACCGATGGTAACAAATTGCTGTCGAGAAAAAGCGTTCACCGATCAGTGGTGCACAATGCAGAAGATGAAAATACCATAGGGTCGAGTCCAGGGACAAGTGAGTACCAATCTGGCAGTGGGATATTTCCAATTAAGCTGATGGAGCATAGATGACTGAGGGTCTTATTATGTGACCAGAACACTTGATTCGAGCAATGCTAATCGGTTTTTGGTGAGAGTAATCTTCTCTTCTGTTTCTGCCGCCTTTTCTTGAACTCCACGGACAATATCTTCAGGAGCTTTCTCCACAAACTGCATGCGCAAAGCTGATATCGTCAGAGGTATGATACATGTGCATACATGAACAGCATGTACAGCATGCAAACGACTATGCTAAAGAAAGAAAGGACTCAACATAACATGCACGCATCATAACAAGAAATTACTATAACTCACTTTTATTTGTTTTCATTTAACACAAGATGCAAACAATTTAACGAAACTCCAGATGATGGATGTATCAAGCGGGCAGAATTGATGTTGGCAAAATTTCCAAAAGTTCCGGTTATCCAAAATTTCTAAACTCATCTTACCAAATGTTTTAGGTTTTTATTTAATTTTGGTTCGAAATCCAATCATTTCAGTCAATGGATCCTTAGGGAACAAGACATGTAAAATACTTTCTCCGATCAATGCCAACTGCCAAGCGCTTAAATATGAGTTAAAAATATTCGTACTTTAGGAGAGCTGAGCCGAGCTTTAAGTCCATCATATTCTGTCTGTGTTAGGGTTCAAGTTACAGGTAAGGAAGGAAATGAAAAAGGATAAGGGAAAAGAAGAAATTAAAGACTATTTTCATTCATTGTTCCTGAATTCATTACAAAAGGGGGATATATATCCATTCAACACAATAGACAAAATATCTCATAAGCTGAGTCATCACCTAACACCCATTTACTACTGTACTAAGGATAATAACTTTGTATCGAGGGGCCTACACAGTAAGGACCTAACATGGCACCCTTCCCTGAAATAGCATGTCCTCAGGCTGTGAAGGATGGAAAACGGGTGAGGATGGAATCAGCATCCTCCCAAGTGGTGTCATGCTCTGGAAGTCATTTCCACTGGATTAACCAAAGAGTGACTCCTCGGTTCCTGCTCTTGAACAACCCGCGTTGAAGAATTTTCTCAGGGGTCCACAGGAAGGTACTGGTAGTAGAGAGTGGTGGCAGAGTTGGAGAAGCTACCATATGGCTCCCAAGCTGTGGTTTCAACAAGGAAACATGAAAGGTAGGGTGAATGTGAGATTGAGGTGGAAGGTCTAGGGTATAGGCAACCTGACCAATCCCGTGCAATCACTTTGAAGGGGTCATAGTAACGGGGAGCCAATTTGGGGCAATGAGTCTTGGACACTGAAGTTTGGTGATAAGGTTGAAGTTTTAGGAAAACCCAATCACCCATAGCGAAGGTGCGCTCAGAGCATTGTTTGTCGACGTATTGGCGTATGCGATGTTGTGCAAGTTGCAAATGCTCCCGCAACAGTTTAAGCAGTGCATCGCGATCACAGAATGCTATGTCGACGCTGTGCACCGGAGATGAACCAGGGAGGTAAGAGGACACTGTAGGTGGAGGATATCCATACACAGCCTGGAATGGAGTCATGTTGATTGCAGATTGGAAGGTGGTATTATACCACCACTCTGCCCACGGAAGCCACTGAATCCAGTCCCTTGGTTTGTCGCTCACAAAACTGCGCAAGAAGTGTTCAATGGTGCGATTAAGCACCTCCGTTTGCCCGTCGGATTGAGGGTGATAGGCAGAGCTTTTGCAAAGGGTGGTATGCTGCTGCTTAAAGAAGGCAGTCCAAAATTTGCTGATGAAGATCGAATCCCGATCGCTAACTATAGAAGCTGGCATTCCATGTAGACGGAAGATTTCCTTAATGAACACCTCTGCAATTTTAGGAGCTGAATAGGGATGTTTGATGGGGATAAAATGGCCGTATTTGGACAACCTATCCATTACCACCAAGATTGCATTCCTGCCATAGACTGAAGGAAGGCATTCGACAAAATTCATCGCAATGTCCGTCTAAATCTGTTTGGGAATGGCTAGAGGTTGCAGCAGCCGTGGAGGCTTGATTGTCTCATAATTGACACGCTGGCAAGTGTCACATGAAGCAACAAACGTTTTCACTTCCGTTTTAAGCCCCGGCCAGTCGAAGTTACGTGTCAGTCTTTTATATGTGCGGAGGAAGCCCGAATGACCCGCTGAATCAGAATAGTGAAATTCCTCCAAGAGGCGAAAACGCCAAGGGGATGAGGCTGCCACAAACACACCTTGTTTATAATAAAGAAGATCCTCTTGTAGTTTAAACAAGGCATGACTTGCTAGATTGACTTGCAAATCCTTCAGAATGGAGGAAGCCTACGGGTCCGAAGCGTAGTAGCTTGTATGTCCGTGATACAGTCAAACAGGAGCCGAGACAGACCCATTAAGGCCAGGACCTCCGGCCTGCGAAAAAGGGCATCCGCGGCTGCTTTCGAGGATCCGGGCCTATACTCCAAGGCATAATTGTAGCCAAGTAATTTCAACAACCATTTTTGCTGAGCAGGAGTTATAATGCGTTGATCCAGAAAATACTTCAGAGTTTGGTGGTCTGTAAGTATTTTGAAGTGCTGGCCAAGCAAATAAGGCCTCTATTTTTGTACCGCAAAGACCACTGCCAACATTTCTCTGTCATATACTGAAAGAGCATGATGTTTCGGAGCCAAGGGCTTACTAAGAAACTCAATAGGGTGGCTCTCCTGCGATAAGATCGCTCCAATTCCGCTATCCGAAGCATCACACTCAATTGTAAAGGATTTGGTGAAATCCGGAATGGCAAGAATCGGCGTAGACGTCATGGCTACTTTGAAAGCCCCCAAGGCCTGATCCGCCGTGAGAGACCACTGGAAACTATCCTTATGGAGCAAGTCAGTGAGTGGCTTTGCTAGTAACCTAAAGTTCCGAACAAATTTACAATAGTAACTGGCGAGACCCAAAAAACCTCGAAGGTCTCTAATATTGGCAGGGGACGGCCACTCCATAATGGCCGAAATTTTGGAGGAATTCACTGATACACCCTCTAAGAAATAACATGCCCCAAATAAGCAATAGAACTTTGGCCAAAAAGACATTTTGAAGGCTTCAATTTCAGTTGGTGGGTGCGGAGAAGCTCAAAGATAGTAGCCAAGTGAGCAACATGATGTTCCAGCGTGTCACTGAAAACCAATACATCGTCAAAAAAGACGATGACCGATTTTCGCAATAGGGGCTTCAAAATGGAATTCATCAATGCCTGAAATGTGGCTGGGGCGTTGGTAAGGCCAAAAGGCATGACCGTGAACTCGTAGTGACCTTTATGGGTACGAAAAGCTGTTTTAGGGATATCGGCCCGGTGCATCCGTATTTGGTGATACCTCGAACTCAAGTCCAGTTAGGAAAAGAGGGCAGCGCCGTGAAGTTATGCTAGTAATTCATCAATAACCGGAACAGGGAAGCGGTATTTGATTGTGATCGAATTCAAGACACGATAATCGACACAAAAACGCCAATCGTCCTCAGCCTTCGCTACCAACAGAGCAGGTGAAGAGAAAGGGCTAAAACTCGATTGAATGATACCGGTGGATAACATGTCAGCCACCTGCCGTTCAAGTTCCGCTTTCTAGGCATGACCATAACGGTAAGGGCGCACATTCACAGGTCTTGTGCCTGGAAGGAGAGGGATCTGATGGTCAAATGACCTATGGGGTGGCAAGGTGGTGGGTGGCTCAAATAGGTCCGAGTATTGCAAAAGCAGTGCTTGGAGTATTACCGATAGTGGAGATGAAGGCAGGGAACCCTGAGGAACACTGGATAGTTAAGCCACAATCTGAGGGGGAATGCCAAAAGGGGCGTCTAATGCCGATGAAGGGGCGCATGAACATAGAGGTGGTGTGGAAGATCCTACGAAACGATAGTTTGTTCCATTTATCGTGAATTCCATGACTTTGAAGAGGAAGTTCCAACCAATAAGGCCCAAGGTTTCTAACCAATCAATCCCTAAAACCATGTCGCAGCTGGCGACGGCGAGTAGGTGAAAGTCCCCGCAAAATTCATACCCTTGAATCATTACTGAGACTTAGGGAGCAACACCCTTCGTACGAAAGTAACGACCGGTTGCTACCATGACCAGCTCACAACGGGAAGAATCTGTGGGAAAACCCAATCTGGCAGCTACTTGAGGGTTAAGAAAACTTTGATCCACCCCGGAATCAATAAACACCTGAACCGGGGTGTGGAGAATAGACCCTTGCAAACGCATCGCCTGTCCGCGAGAACGCTTCGTGGCTGAAATGGCATGGAGTGCAATAGATTGGTCAGATTACTCCACCAAAGTCGACTCAAGCGGTGGGATTGGTGCCACCTCTTGGAATGAGTTAGTGAAATCATCTTCCGCAAGAAGGAGTAGATTATGGGACTGTCGACAACGATGTCTCGGCCGAAACTGGTCATCACAATTAAAACAGAGCCCTTGTTCCCTGCATGTTCGCATCTCCGCTTGGGTGAGGCGGATAATTGGTTTAGAAGGTGGTTGGGAAGGGGCAGGTGGAGTATGGCGTGGAGGATGAGGGAAAACTGTTGGAGGTGCTGGTGTCAGTGTGTGAGGCTTAGAGAGATTAGGAGATGGACAGGAAAACCCACTGCGAGTCGACGAACGGCGCCCATTTTTGTGTTCATAAGTACGAGCGAGTTCAATAGCCTAGGCAAGGGACGTAGGCCTTTGGGCTACCACATCATCCTGCAAGTCCTCTTTGAGTCCGCCCAAAAACGCCCCTAAGAGCTGCTCATCAGACCAATCTGGAGTACGACATAAAAGCCGGATAAACTGGTCGACATAGGTCTCGACCGACTCCGTTTGACTGATGTGGGAGAGAGCCATGTGGAAATTCAAAGCGTTGGCCGATCCAAAGCGTTGCAGCAGTTGCGTGGTGAATGTAGCCCAAGAGGTAAGAAGGAAACGTAGCTTGAACCATCGTTGCCAATGGGCGGCGTCACCCCCCAGATGCAACCCTGCGACTGTGACGCGGCGATAGTCCTCAATTTCATGGTAATCCAGAAATTCTTCAGCCATGGATAACCATCCATACGGGTCTTCGCCAAAGAAGCGAGGGAGCTCAATCTTTAACTGTTTTGGCCCCACCATTGATGGGGAAGGGTTTGGGAAGAGTTGGGTGAAATGGGGGCCCTGGTGTGGTGTGGGATGGGGGTAGTGAAGGGAGGGAAATTGGGCAGAGTCCAATGGTGTAAGATTGAGTTGCTAAAGTGTGGGGGTATGTAACGAGAGTTGGGGGAATGACTAAGGAGAGTTGAAGAAGTGTGAGGTAAGGAGGAAGGACCCACGGCCAAGGGGGACCGCGCGAGGTGGTTTGTAGGGAGGGGTTGGGAGTGTGGAGAACTCTAGGTTGGTTGAGGAAGAGGGGTTGGGATGGCCGCAAAAGGAGAGGAGCCCAGGGAAATGGGAATAGACCTGATGGGAATCTGAGACCTGTTTTGGGAAGGGGGTAGGGTTTTGAGAGTACAAAGTTCCCGAATGACTGTTTGTTGAAATTTCTCTTGCCGGGCTCTGTTGACCGTCATCTTGGCAATCGTGGGCTGCAGATCAGTGAGATGGTGCTGCAGATCATCTTGGCAGACGCTCATCAGCGTGACTGTCTCATGGAACTCATGAAGGTGCGTGATGATTTGTTGTTGCTGAAACTCTCTATCAAGTTCTGAGTTGGAAACGTCAGCCACCGTGATCGACGCCTTGTTCTTGCCCATGGAAGCACGCCTGGGCTCTGGATACCAAATGTTAGGGTTCCAGTTACAGGTAAGGAAGGAAATGAGAAAGGATAAGGGAAAAGAAGAAATTAAAGACTATTTTCATTCATTGTTCCTGAATTCATTACAAAAGGGGGATATATATCCATTCAACACAATAGACAAAATATCTCATAAGCTGAGTCATCACCTAACACCCATTTACTACTGTTGTAAGGATAATAACGTTATATCGAGGGGCCTACACAGTAAAGACCTAACAGTCTGTATCTTGGAAAGTCTCTTAGATAGGCGTTGGATTTCGGCAGTAATATCAATCATGTCAGCAAGAGGGAGATATGCCTCTAGCCCTTCACCAGCTACAAGATGGACTGATTGATCCACATTCCCTGAAATAAAAGATATCCACCAAATATATGCCTCAGCATCAGGTCATATAAAGCCATAAACATAAATGACAATAAACATGAACATTTCCGGGCCTTGGCCAAATGGAAAATAATCGATGAAGAAACGTGCCTGGAGGAGAATCGGTAAAATGGATCTTTTTGTAAATCTAGCCTGGAGAGAAGAGCTAAAACTTCCTTTTCTTTCTGCATCAAAATATAAATAAATATTTAAGCGAGTTAGTGGTAATGATAATTATGTCCAAATAAAAATCATTGCTGGAGAATGAATACGTACCCATATGTATTCAGTGACTTCTTCATTTGCAACTATAGATGCTGATATACGCTTTACAGGCTCAACAGAATATTCTGCTCGAGCATTTCTGATAGCTCTAGTCTTAAGAATAACAAAGAAGAAAACTTAGTAATTTAAGCAGCCACTTTTGACTATAAGAAAAATATACAAGATAGCAAAAAGTGCCAGTTGGATTTGGGTATGGACCACTAAACAAGAAGGATGAAGGAATATCCACTCACCAAAGCCTGTAAATTTTCAAATTTTTTAATCCAATTGCTCCTCCTTGGATGTGAAGTCAGTGGCCCCGGAGATACAATAAGAGCTTCTTTTCGATAGGGGAGTGCCTGTATCAAAGCAATCATTCATTTTAATTGAAACACTATCGGGGACAACAGTACAATGAAAGCGAACAAGCAGTCCACCCTAAATCCTAAGCAAAAGCTTTTCCATTTAATAATTACACCATAAGAAAATAATAAATACCTTATCAGTATAGAAGTTGAATTCAACTCAAAAGCTGAATATGGTGAATCAATTTTACCTGCCAGATTTCCCCGGTCACCAATGGCATGAAGGGATGTAGTAATTTAAGTATGTTTTCAAAAACATACAATAGAACTGCCTGTGTGACAAAAGCAACTGAATCACCACCAGAGTGGTAAGGACGAGCTTTACTGGCCTCGATGTACCTACATAAGTGAAATAAGTCGACAGTTGACAAATGTGTAAATCAGTGCATCTGAGCTAGGCAGAAGATATTAACAAAAAAGAAAAAGAAAACGGTTAACATTCTTATTTTCTGTTATTTTAGTAAGAAACATTCACTTTCAATGATAAAAAAAAGCAACCTAATACAGGGGAAAAGTTCCAGTCGTCCAGCTAGGCTAAACAAAACAGAGCTGTACCTCATAGTATTACATGGCAGCAAAGAAAATGAATACCAAAATACATCAGCCACTCCAACCATAATAAAATATAGCTGGGCAGTAAACTCTGAAGATACTGAAGCCCAAGGGGAAGCCATAAAACCAACTCATTCCACTAACAACCCAACTCATCCCGTGTTCCTCCAAATATTAGGAGCTTGAACTTCATGACACAAATAAAATAACCTAACAAAAAAACCCTGCCCAGGATTTTTCCTTTTGGCAATTCTGATAAAAGCTTTTGGTAAGACTAATCCTGAAGCTCCATTTCCTTCCAGTGGCATACATATAAACTTTGGTCCAGCTGGTTAGTTGACCTATTAGAGATTTTATTGGCCAAACATCAACATACTAGAAAATACCTAATCATATCATAATATCAATCTGCATGTTATCAGCCACAGAAACCAAAATGAGTACAGTTTCAGAAAGTATTTTGTGATTCAGAGGTTTCTTTGGGGAGGTTCAAAATCTTTTAAGATATACAAGAGATTGACTTTATATAAGAGAAAAATATATTTAACATTATCACTCCTAATCAGTCAATTTTTATTTTGGACAGGAAACCTAGAAAAAACAAAGCGAGATCCAGCACCTTTGTCCAATAGGACAAGTGGCCAACAAACAGAAACACAAGGGAGTCGTTCAGTATATCCAATGGCCCACAAAAAACATAAGAATGATTAATTGAGTGGGCATGTGCCCCCACCAAGCCTTACCTCCTTCCGTCCACGTGTTTATAGCTTTGTCAAACTGAAAAAGCAATAAAGTAAAATAATGTTTGTTTTTAAAAGCAATAATTTTGTATAAAAGCATCGGTGCCATATTCCTTGATTGTATCTAAAGGATCTATTACATTCCCCAATGTTTTCGACATCTTTCGACCGTGAAATAATCATTGCATTATTTCATATATCTGAATATCAGACACATAAGAGTAGAGTACAACTAGAGAATGTAGTAAACAGTAGTTTATAGCAATGTTTTCAGAGGTGCGAGAGTCTTCGGCGAAGCGAGCACCTTTGTGTTGTGTAGCTTTTCTGACTTTTTGCTTAATTATGCAAACGGCTACGTTTCACCTTTGTGTTCTGTACGCTTTTCTTGACTTTTTGCTTAATGAAGTGCCTAATTATACGAATGACCATTTTGTGTTAATTCTCACCCACAAATTATTTAAGAATCAACCATGCATGAATATAGAATATTTAAAAATATCCAAGAAGGACAACCCAATAACCGTGCTAATAATATTTTACAATAAAGAGACAATCATACTGCACAAGCAAAATACAAAGAGGAAGTCAGGTGGTCAATAAGACCACACAGAACCGCCCAGACCTGAAAAGAAAACTAACAGGAAAGAAAAGCGAGCAGAATCAGCACTGTCCCAAAAGATTATTAAAATAGAGCGGCTAGGACATAACCATCAAATTAGCACTCTCCCATAAGACAAACAACCTTACACACCATGCAGAATGAACCAACAAATTAATGACATCCGTATAATTAGGCACTTCATTAGCAAGGAATTTTGACGATCCTCAAAGTAAGCACACAAGGGAGAGGTTGGGAATAAACTATTTCACACTCAAGAAGAAATGACAAGCTAAAAGGACAATTAAATTAAAATATCAACATTGATGCAGTAGTTTTTATCGTGCAGTTTCAACTTACTTGTGAATCCCTAATGAGACCGTGTAGATAAATGTATTTAAATGTCACTGTCCCTGTGAACTCAATTCCCATCATGACCATCCTCGCAACCCAAAAGAACAATATGTTATGCCTGTTCAAACATGCAAGCAATAATATAAACTTCCAACAATCTTTTCAAATGAGCAAGCTTGATCACCAATCACCATAATAATAAAGTTTACAAACCTTCCAAATTTTAGTAATAACCTGTCGCAATTGGTGATAAATCTACACCCCCTTGCTCAAAGGGGACAACAGTCCCAAATATTGGAAATGGACTGGGCTTGAAAAACAAATCTAGAAACAATTATGTCCATTAAGAAACCAAGAGCCATACTAAAATTTGTGAGATCTAGGAGAAGCATCTTTAAATGAGAAGATGGTTAGGGCTGATTTGGTATTGTTATGTTTTGAAAAAAAAAAACTGCTTTATGTTGTGCTATGAGATGAGGGAAGTATAGGAAGCTGAGGGAAGTAGATGTCTAGGAGCTAGGTAAGGACGGAGAGGTTTACGGAGGCCAAAAAATCAATATTAAATGCAGCCATACATGGGAAAACGAAGACAGATGGCAGGCAAATGCTTAGCATGGGATGCACGTACCCAGTTTCAAGCATTGTTGTAGAGTAAAACCGCTTAAAATCCTCAGTTGACTCATCTGGCCATCCAAGAGTACTGAAAGGCCACAGTGCACTGTGAAAAGGAAAATATGATATATTTAGTCAAACTACAAAACATCTCAAATATATGAAACCTTGATGTGGATTTAAAAAACAAAAGACCAAGTATACATTAATTGTGAAATCAAAAGCTTCCACATGCAGCAGAAAGAAAACGCTAGAAATTTAATAAAAACTATAGTACCTAAAACAATGCTAATTCTTTTGTTAAATACACCAATATGCTGCTTCATTGCTTACAAATCCAAACATAATGAATCAGATATTAGTTAGGATTTGAAGTTACCAAATTAGGTCGGTATTTTAGTTTGAAAGATCATGTACAATTCCCATTACAACTACACAAACAGTCATCTTGGTCACATAATCCCTTCAAACAACTGCATTAAAACTGTATCCATGGGTTAAGACAAAATTGCTAAATAGGGCATGTTAAATCTCAAATCCTGGAAGCGTTGGCTAAAGTCTTCAAAGTTCTAGGTATTATATGAAAGAAAATAGTAAAGTCCCTTTTACCAAGAATGACAATGTCAGTCTCCGTGTGAATTTCATGGAAATTAATTTTAAAGCATGAAACTTTGTATGAACAATTCGGAAATGCTTTCTAAAAGACATAAGGTACTCAATTAATCAATTATGCTTCTCTCACTAAATTTTCTCTTTCTGCATCATCGATCAGATGCATTTCTAGAAGTCTAAAAATTAAAAAAAGAAGAAAAAACATAGCTTTTCTGTTTGTACTTGAAAGTGCCAAAGTCTTTCTCAGCATGCCGCCAAAACAATTAATGGTCCACACAGGCGGCAGTCAAGGCAAATAGTGGACTGGAAAAACAAAAACAAATGCTCACCAAAAAGAAACAAAAACAAATATCTACTTCCGGTTACAACTTACATCACACGTTTTCTGATTACACGTCACCAAATCATGTCTCCGTAGTCCGGACCCTGACGCCTCTATCTATATATCTCTTATTAGACTGCTACGCAAAGTACGAAACAGAAACAGAAAGGGTC